AGTGGGGGCGAAATCGCGACCTTCCAGGATTTCAGTCCTGGAAGTTGGTGATTTTGCCCCCGCTGGCCCCGTGGGGAATGGGGGGAGCCTCTGAAGGGTCCTGAAAGGCACACTCGGACCCTTCTGAGGCTCCCCCCACTCCCACCCCCGTGTGCCCAGCAGGCTCAAATTGCCAGAATATTTTTTCCTGTTTTCCTCCCCTAAAAATGAAGTGTGTCTTATGGAGAGGTGTGTCTTATGGAGCGTAAAATACGGTAATATGGGTGGCAGATCCTATTACATGTTCCAGGATTGCTAATTGATTTATAGTGCTGGTGAATCTTGGCACAGACTTTGGTTTGCATTGAACTATGCTTTGAACCTGTTCCCACATTTCATCTGGTGATAAAAACTTCTGATTTTCTTACATGTTTATCTCCTGCGCTTTTAGTTTGTGAGGGTAGGGTAGTATTTCTTTTTTATTACATTGTGTGGATGATGGGTATTGAAACAGCCTAGGATCACAAACAGAAGTTGTACAAATGGAGAACTTGCAACAGAGTGTTATAGTGTGACATGCTTCTTATATTACCTTTCACCTCTACTTTTTAGACACCGTCCAATAAGTATTTGGCATTCTTTGATCATTGTGCATACATAATTCTCACTGTTCTATGATTCAGATTTTTTTTGCCGTCTCCAGTGTGTTTTAATTTCCTTTTGTATTTGTGCAAGCTCAGTGATCTTTATTGTTCTATGCATGGTCCTATTTTGGCAGCAGAGAACTGGGACTATGTAGAATAAGTTGTGTGTTATTATAAACTGTGTTACAGTATGACTCATTCCAGAGTGGATCTGGGTACTACCAGGACAGCATGTTCTCTGTTCAATATGATGGAAACAAAGAGAGTACTTGCAAAATTGCATAGCAGGTTAATACAGTGGTGCCTCGCTTAACGGGCGCCCCATTTAACGACGAATCCGCATAGCGATGAAGATTTTGCGATCGCTTTAGCGATCGCATTGCGATGTTTTAAATTGTAAAAAATCGCTTTGCGATTATTGGTACCCTGTTTCACTTACCCATCATCGCATAGTGATGATTTTCCAACAGCTGATCGGCAGTTCCAAAATGGTCGGCGGGTAAAAAAAATGGCCGCCCGCTGTGTTTTTGCACCGATTCCTCGCTTATCAGACAGCGAAAATGGCGGCCATATAGAGGATTTTCACTTTAAGGTGAGTTTTAAGCCCATAGGAATTCATTGAAGGGGTTTCAATGCATTCCTATGGGCTTTTTATTTTCGCATAGCGACGAAATCGCTTTGCAGCGATTTTTGCTGCACGGATTATTGTCGCTACGTGGGGCACCACTGTACTAGGCCAAGCATTGAAAACTCAATCAAGTGAGGGCTGGGAAATGTATTTTTAAATAAAAACCAGCATTCTTTATATTGCAGCTGATTTGTGTGATACTTCCAGTCAAGCTTTCAATTTAATTTTAACCATGCCAAACCTAGTTCACGAAGTCATACAGTAATGCAGAACTTTCCAAAAACAATGGATAAAACATGTGCAAAAATAATGTTGGATCCCAATCTTTATCTCTAGTATGAAAACTGGGTAGCAGATTCTGGGAATGATTCATTTCTAACTGTTCTGTCAACTCCTGCAATTATTGCTGCTGTCACTTACAATAATTAAATGTTATCCTAGTACCTTTTATTATTAAAGAGGACATTGTCTTGCATGACTCAAGGAAACACAAATCTCAAAATGTGTGCATTGGAATTTGCTAAAGTTTTATCTCACCTTGCTATCTAATAGATAAAACTGAATTTGAAGTACTGTAGATAATGGCTGAAATCCTGTTGCTTAGTGTAATAGGTTGCATTGACTCAGTGGGCATTTGATGAGTCAACTCATACATAGGTTCCATTGATTCAAATGGGCTTACTCTAATGGTGACTTACTTTTCTAACTATGGTTTACTTTAGCAGTTAGAGTAGGTCCAGTTGAATCAATGGAATTTATGGATGAGCTGACTCACTAAAATTCCACTGTTTCAATGGGCTTACTCTAGTGCAATTTATTAGACTAAGCAGCAGGATTTCAGCAAATGTATCGCAATGTAGGAAAAAATTATTAGAGTTGAAGGGATTTAATAGAACAATTCTGTGTTGTTACTTGCAGGCAAATCGTTATTTATATATAAAATGTTGAGGATTACAGCTTTATATATCTAAATGTGTTTATTTTTCTAGCAAGAAAATATGAGCTGCAGCAGCAACCACAGAAACAGACTGATAGTGTACAACTTTTGGTGGAATGAAGTCTTGAATTTCTGAAGTCAAGAAACAGTGCTGTAGATGACAGAGCATTTGGGATAAAGTAATTGTAATTTTGCTGGTATATAGTCTTTTAAATTGCACATAGTATGTTTTGATGACAGGCCCTACATAAATGTACACTGAAAGTCCTATGAAACCTGAATAACAGATGGGGCTAATACATATTGGTCTTGTTTTCCCTTTCGTATTATGAATGATTTTCAATAAAATCAAGACCTCTGAGGAGCACTGACCTCTGTGGGTACTGCAGTTGTTCCTATTGGTACAGTCAAGAAGGATATAAGACATGGTGTTTTTATAGTGTGTTACAATGCTAGCAATAAAGTGGTAATCCTGCTGGAAAACATCTTGTATTCAGACATTCTCAGTCAGTACTGAATACCAAATGTCTTGTTTTGGTAATATGGAGAGATTAATTTGGTAATAATATGGAGAGATTAATATCATGCTCTTCCTCCTGTTTTGAATACCAAATGTCTTGTTTTGGTAATATGATACAGATGGAGAGATTAACATCATGCTCTTCCTCCTGTTTTCACCTAAGTGAATGCTAGTACATGGTGGGTGGTGGGGAACTATGCCTAGCATGCTTACTTCTTAAGAGATGATGCCTTCTATTAATTGAACCAGAATGCACACACCTATTCTCAGGTGAAGAGTCCGCAGGGTATGCATTTACCCATTTAAATGTACTCTCTTGCAAATTCTGTTTTTTTTAAAAGACAGACTACTTCCAGTTATGATTAAATGGAACCAGTCAAGCCAATGGAATAAAATTCTTCTAAGTCTTAAGTATTTGTGCCTACGGCTGGGGTTCCCAGTCTGAATGATAACTGAAATAAAATGAAAATGTATTTGAAACAGCCCAAGGCCTCTAATGAAGTTATACTTGTTGCAGAGTAGTTTCAGGTGGATTTCTAAATGGCACTTTAATGGCAGGAATGTTAAAAAGTAATATAGTCAGGGTATAGGACAGTACTGCCATCCTTATTGTTTACAGGTAGAACAGTTTCTATACCAGTTCCATGACAGTAATGATCAGGTACAGTTCATTAGTTCACAATTCTGTCAGACAAATTTGACATGAAATTATAAATCGATAATGATCAGGTACAGTTCATTAGTTCACAGTTCTGTCAGACAAATTTGATGTGAAATTATAAATCGACTAGATCACCGGTCCCCAACCTTTTTGGGACCGCCAACCAGCTGAGCCTCCCAGGAAGGCGCCCCCCCAAGTAATGATCAGGTACAGTTCATTAGTTCACAGTTCTGTCAGACAAATTTGATGTGAAATTATAAATCGACTAGATCACCGGTCCCCAACCTTTTTGGGACCGCCAACCAGTTGAGCCTCCCAGGAAAGTGCCCCCGCTGCAGGTGCGTGTGGGTGTGTGTGCGCTCTCAGGCACATGCGCGAAGCGGTGGGGGAGCGCCCACCTTCCCGCCAGCGCTGGCGTGAGTGCTCCTCCATGCACGAAGCGGTGGGGGAGTGCCCACCTTCCTGCTAGCGCTGGCGTGAGTGCTCCTCCACCCTTTCGTGCAAGCGCAGGGGCGCCTGCACGCCCACCTGCGCCCGCCCACCCCTTCACGCGGGTACACCCCTTCATGCAAGCGCAGGGGCGCCTGCATGCCCACCTGCGCCCACCCACCCCTTCACGCGGGTACTCGGGCGCATGTTTGAAGGGGTGGAGGAGTGCTCACGCCAGCGTTGGCACACGCACGCGTGCACAAAGCAGCTGTGAGGAGGGGAGTGCGTGCAGGGGGGGATGTCTGTCTCCGTGGCCCAGTCTGGCTCGGGCCACGGACCAGCACCAGGCCACAGACCGAGGGTTGATGACCTCTGGAGTAGATGACAGAAATAAGTGTATGCCGGGGATTCAAATATTTGAAGAGATACAAAAAGATATAGAAAAAGTATGTTATATCTTGGGATTAAATGTACAAAATATTTGAATTAAATTATTAATTTCAACCCAAGTAGGTAGTATGTTTCCAGCTCTAGGTCAAAATAAAATGACAGATTAGTGTCAACGTTCAAATAGTTAATTTTGCCATACGGTCACTTTCCCATGGATGATTCTTCTGAATTGGTGTCCTTTCCTTAAAAGTTTTATGGGGATGCCGTATGTTTAAATATATGAGAACAGCAAGAATGTCTGGCTTTTCAAGGCATTTCTGGTGTGATATCTGTGATGCTGGGGATGTAGTCTCAAGCTAATTCTTCAGACTGAATGGACTGGAATGTCACTACAGTATGGAAGGCTAGACAACACTGATCTGGTCTTTCCCATGTGATGGCTGTGGGGAGTCATAAATATCTTGCATATGTAGCATAGGGCACATCCTTCCCTCTTTAGAATGGACTTGTTGCTTTCCTTGTTAGGGAAATGAGGGAATTACAACCCCTTAAAATTCCTGCTCACTTTGTTGGGATGGCTTTTTATGTCCCCTCATCTGTATTTATGGGTGCATTCTTTTGTAAGCTTTTAGTTTGCACATTTTGACTGCAGGAACAGCTGTGATCATGTAGTAAAAAACAGAAGAGAACTGATGCAGATGAATTTACCATGAAGTTTGTGTATGAAGGACAAAAGCAAATGGATTTATTCATTGGTTTATCCTTCGTGCATTTAGGGTTGTGTATTATTTTTTCTAAATGTCATTATTTCCTTTGGATTATCCAGTATTATTACAAATGTCTGTGTTCTAGATAATATAGCTATAAACATGCTACTTGTAAAACGCTGCCATGATCCCTCTGTATAAAATGTGAGATTTTTTAAAAAAAAAAACATAGTAAAATGCATTTAAAATTGCATCTGTGTGAATTGTTTTCTGGTTTGGTAGCATTTTATGGGAAACAGATTCATATACACAACGTTATGAAGATGTTCGTTTTATTTCTGTTTGGTACACTAGGACATATTGACCAGGCAGTCTAGTGAATTTATGTACTTCCTTAAAAAAAGAAAGGAAAAAAACCCACGCAACTCTTTTGGGGAGTGGTAGTGACAGTATATTTGCTTAGTTTTGATAAATCAGTGTGGCTCTTGAATACTGGCAGGTTTTGAGCAACGCCTTGGCAGCTTACTGGGAGGAGAAAAGTAAGCACATGTACCCTTGCAGGCATCATTCGGACAGAGGATCAAGCAAAGGAGGAATTGGGACAAAGAATAAGGAAAATAGTAACTGCATTCTTAATGAAAAATGCTGGTACCCCAACAGATAGAGCACTAGGATGAAAAATGGTCAAGCTGGCCTTGGGTGATGGAAGGCAATAGCAGAATTAGAGCACTGTTTTGTGTTCCTGACCCTTTGCCATGATGGCAAAAGCAAAAGGGAAGTGGGAAGACTGGAGTGAACCTTTAAAAGAGCAGTACTTTAATATTGAGCAACAGTATGGCAGTTCTGTCTTTTGGAAGGGGAGAGATACGAGTATGGTGAAATCCTGGTTGTCAGTATTGTTATTGGCAGCTGTCACTTTCTACATACATGACAGAAGAATGGTGTCCCTCTGTGTGAATTCGGTGTGCTTTCTTAATAAAAGTTTGCTGTCCCGTGACTTTCCTTGGCATGAAGTAGATCTACACTTTGAAGCTCTAGAGATCTGAAAGAGAGGGGAGACAACAGGTCTATGAAGGGTGTCTGTATGGCTAGAGAAGTTTAGAGATCAATTTAAAAGAATTTGCTGGTAATAAGTGAAGAGACTGGAAGTCTAGAGCCAGAAATCTGACAAAAATATGTAGAAGGTTGAAAGAGATGTGTATGTGCTGCATCTGAGGAGTGGTATTACATATATATTGGTTTTTTTTAAAAGGAAATGTGTTTGGCAGGAGACATACTTTGGTTTTGAGATGTCTGCGTGAGAAACTGCTAGCACATAGTGGGGAATTAATAGCAGGATTTTTGCATTTTGTCTTATTTGTTCTAATAATGATCTTGAGCTGCCTTGTGCCAAGCACTTGAAATATGCCTGTCCACTAATAAAAGGGAGATTTTCTGTGATTATGGAGCCTGAAAGAAACCTCACTTATACAAGAGGATACTTCCTCTGAAAGAAAGGCCCCAGATATGTCAAGAATAAGTAAATGTCAACTGTGTATGCTTAACTTGACTTTGGTCTCATCTATAACTATGCTCTTTGTGAACTCTCATCTATACCTGTGTTCTTTGTGAACTACACATATCCTCAAGTGGAAGGATATGTCATTCTTCCCAGCTATGCATTCAGACAGGTTGATCTCTGTACCCACCCGGATTGCCCGGGTAGGGATGCCAAAACTGCCAATCCTCCAGCCACTGGAATTCTGCAAGCTTAAGTTTGGAAAAAAAGCCCCTTATGGAGGCTCGAGAGGAGTGTCAAAGAGCAACATGATATTTTTTTATCCAGAACCAAAAGAAAAAGAAGATGTAAACGTGGCACCTTAAGGACTGATTGCTATATTTAATGTGATTTTTCATGGACAAGTCCACTTCCTCCTATTTTTTTGTGTCTAATCATTTGAGTAGTTGGCTTAGAGGAATAACAAAGAAATTACCCTTCCCCTTTGTAGTGTGTGGGGCAGAACAGGGAGCTTTTGAGAGTTACATCTGGTAGTTATGAACTCTGAACAGATATTTCTTCAATTTGCATAGCCTAATTAAACTGGTGGAACTCTTAAAACTGTTAATAGATGAGAAGCAAAAGGTGTCAGAAATGGGGTCAGGATCCTAAATGCAACTTGTATGCAGAGACAACAAACTATTGGCCAGAATACAATTGAAAATGTACATTGGTTTAAGTCCATTAGTGTACATTTTAGTTGTGAATTGACAGAGGTTAATAAGTCAGTATAGGTAGTTTCTGTATTGCAGTTGATTTTTTATAGAGCTAATACCTATTCCAACTTTTACTGACTTGCAGCAATTCATGGCTGAGGTTTATGCTGATGGATTTATGCTGGTGGGTGTAAGTAATTAGATTTTAGCCAGTATAATAATCATTGCAAAGAAACAGAAGAAAAAAGGAAACGTAAGAAACCTCTTCCGTAAGATCCTGCAGTTTAAGACAGGGAAGTGAAAGCTACACTTGGAGTAAATAAATAATCAAACTAAATAAGGTACCAATAGAATGATTTCAAGCTGCAAATATGTTATTTGTCAAAATTCTAACAAGAAATGGGCCAACAAATATTGAAAAACAACAATGGTCCATAGCTTGGAAACCTTCAGGACACAATCCAATTCAAAAGAAATGAGATACCAAAGATTTCAGTAGCTATGGAACCATCACATTAATTCCCCAGGCAAGGAAATCGAGGCTTGAGATTTTACAACAAAGATTTCTACTGTACATGGAGCAAGAAATGCTCAGTCTGTAAGCATGACTCAGAAAAGGAAGAAGTATTAAGAGATAATATTACAGTATAACTTTAGTTATTGCAGCATACTGGATGATTTCAGAAGAAAAGCAATTTGTGCTTTATAGATTAAAGCAAAGCCTTTGACTGTATAAATCATGAAAAGCTATGAATTGTTTTAAAAGGAACACAATGTTAAACTGTTCTGATGTCTAACCTATATGGTGGATAATAGGCTACTGTTAGGACAGAATATGGAGCAACAAAATAGTTTTCAGTAGGCAAGGTGTTGGACAATAGCACCCTTTACTTCCATATCTGTTCAATTTATATACAGAACCTCTCATACTGAAAGCTGTGTAAGATTCAGATGAAGGAGGAATGGAAGTTGGTGAAAGAAACACCAGTAATTTAAGATAAATAGATAACAATATATTTGGCAGAAAATAGGAGTAACTTGCAATGACTGCTGAGGAAGGTAATGGGAAGAATTATACAGTAATTGAACATTTAGAAAATAAGAATAACTATTACAAAAGACTTACATAGCTTTAATGTTTACAGTGACAAAAAAGATTCCTATATGTACTTTGGTTCAGTCATCAATCCACATGGAGACTGCAGCCAAGAAATCAGAAGGGCAGCTATGAACAAAACTTGAAAAGATTCTCAAGTGTAAGGATATGTGTTTGTGACGGACAGTCCAACATCAGTAGAACACTGATGTGATAACCAATGACATGACAGAAGGGGCGGAACCAGGGAAATAAAAAGGGACAGAAATCCAGTTATAATCAGTTAGAACTAGTGAGGAGTTATTTTAGGCAGTTAGGGCCATGGTTGTGTTAGAGAGAAGCGTAATAGAGAGATAGAGAAAGAGATAAGAATAGGACAAGTCTTTGGAAGTTTATGTGGTTAAGATTGGACAGAGTTAAACATGTTAAGAAATAAATAAATATTTAAATATATAAATACCTTGATTAAAGTGAATCTACATAAGCAAACTTAAATGTAATGAAAGCAACATTTATTAAATGAATAAAAGTCCATCCATGATTTTCTCTACTGTATATGATTTACATACCAAACACGTAAATAAACATTGTTATATTGGACAACACTGATCTAATAGTCATATTTGATATAGATAGGAACAGAACCTCTGGTGGCAGCGAAAAAGGGTAAAAAGTACATGTCTTGCCCGAAAGGGAACCTGGGTGTTTAGAAAAATAAACAGGGGAATTGGGGTGTGTGTGACAGTGTTCTTGAAGGCTTTCATGGCTGGGATCCGATGGTTGTTGTGGGTTTTTTGGGCTATTTGGCGGTGTTGTGGGGTTTTTTCTTCCTCTCCTTTCGTTAGTCTCTGTGGCCAGCATCTTCAGAGGACAGGAGCTAGAATTTTGTCTGTGTTCTGAACACGGCCAAACAGCCCAAAAAACGTACAACAGTTATGTAAGGATATGTCATTGGCGACCAAGGCCAGGATAATCCATCCTATGGTATGCCTGATTACTATGCAAGCAGAACAGGGGGGGAAAGGAGGGGATAGGAAAAATTATACATTTTTTTATATTAGAGGAGAGCTTTGCAAATATCAAGGGTCACAGAAAGACAAATAAAGGGACTCCAGATAAAATGTGAACTCTCAGTAGAAACTAAAATGATTACATTGAAGCTGGTGTACTTTGGTCATATTATGAGCAGACAGGATTCACTGAAATAGACAGCA